ATAAAATCGTGGATCTACGCATGTTTTTAATCATTATTATTTGCTGAGTATTTCGAAAACCAGTCATAGAGCTTCGAAAGGTGTTCAGTATAAAAGAAAACAGGTCTGGTGAGACAACCAGCGCTTTAGAAGTCGCATATTCATACAATTGCGAAAGGCAATCTTGACCGCCACCACCCTCATTTTTTTTATTCTCAACTTCCGATTTATTCCAAACGTCTCAACATTTTCCTGAAGTTTCATAATGTGCATGTTTTTGTCTTGCAATGACAGATTCAATTAATTTAGTCTCTTGAATATATCGCACACATATAATAGTTTCAATAATCTGGTTCAGTAAAGGACCTGGGGGTTTCGTATCCTGCAGAACTTATCTAGAGCTCCTATATCTATACATAGGTTTTTAAATTCTAACCTTCAGCACAGGTGTTTTTATGTAATTCACTACACGGATAATACATTCTAGTACTGGGTTCAGTTCAGAGCTCATTGACTTTGTTGCAAGAGTTTTAGCTCATAGCATTTGATGTTTTTTTATGAATAAGCGCCTGCATTACCTGAAAGACGAAGAGTATCAATGGTTTTAAAGTGCTTACTCGTATTGCAACGACAACGCAACGTTAGAATGTTCCAATACAATCGCTCAAAATATTGTTGATTCATTTGATGATCCGCGAAAACTTATATGCACAGAGGATCGATAACAACAGAGGATCGATTCATGGCGCCCCTCTTAATTTTCTTCTGCGTCCCAGGGCGCCGCAACACACAGTTTGGGAAATCCTGACTATAACTCAAAATATGAATTGAGAAAGTATATTGAAATAATACCATATCCTGTTCTATGTCGTAGGTTATTAGTTATTGACATTTCAATAAAAAAGGTTTCAATTGAATTGAACCATCAAAGATGATTTGATACAATTTTCATCGAATTATCCAAAATTTCCTCGAGAAAATAATACGTTGAAAATCAATATAAACACCGAAATTGAATTCTCTACTTTCACAAGCCCGTTACTTTATTGGTGACAGCCATGCACATCTATAAACTGTTCGTACTTACATTTGTAGCTGTATGCTTATGTAAAAGTTTGAAACCCATGTTTCGTTTCAATTCAAACAGATCATCAATTTTAACATTTTTGCACAATATTTCTCTTTTGCCCTCAATAACGTTTTTGATTCCAGTTTATGTAGATTGTGGTATTGCGGAAGTTGTCATCGACCAAAAGTGTTTTCTAGATCAGCAATTTTTACCATGGTTCGTATTTAATAGTGCAGTGGAGACGAAAATAATGGAGAATACTGATATAATAGTTCCTTCGTATATTATTATATTTCTGGAAAATTTGGATTATTCTCATGAAAAAATTACAACGGTTTTGTCAATGCCATTATTCAATCGTAGAGTTCCCTTGGTCTTTATAGCAGATGTTGGATCAGAAACGGACATTGCTGTTAAGAATTTTCTGCAAAACTTGCGAAAATTCAGAATTGCCAGTTATAGTGTATTGAAGTATTATCCCACGGTGAAACTAGTAGCCTTCAATCCTTTTATGCAAAATACAATGGAATCGCTCACCATAGAAGACTATGATAGTAAATTTTTCAATGTTTATTACCACAATTTCTATGGACTCACTATCGAAATAGTTTTCTATAGGAATTTGCAAGCTGACCTTGAAATGAAATTGAAGCTGAAACCAGAAGATTTTTCTCTTTGGATGGATATATTTCATCTTTTGAATGCTAGTCATAATGTTATACAAGAAGTTCCTTACGATTACGAGAAGGCGAAAGAAATTGTTATGGCAAGCAAAGCTGATATGTGCATGCAACGTCTTTTCATTTTGAATATAACGGAAATTTCAGATTTCTTAACACCAACACAAATCGAGTACATAGTGATATTAGTACCGAAATCCAAAAAGGTCCCTCAAAGTTTATATCTAATAGCAACTTTCTCTAAGGTCACTTGGCTATCGATTTTGTCTTCTTTGGTGATTTTCATTGGAGCGGTGTATATAATTGGAAAAAAACTGAATGGTTTCTATAAAAATACAGCCCTGGAACTATTCGGCATCCTCTTTGGGCAACCAGTCCCAAGCCTAACTATATACCTCACTCCACAAAGATTTTTAATGATTTTTTGGCACATGACTTGCATTGTTATCATCGCATCATTTCAAGGGGCTCTTCTAAAAAGTCTGTTGAATTCAAAATATTGGGCCGAAATGAATACCATTTCAGAACTTAAGGATGCTAATCTGCCTATATACGTTCCTATCCGCTGGATAAAATTATTAGAAGAATCTGTTCCTATTTTAAAACATCAGTTCGTGCCCATTTCTGAAAGAAATGAAAGTCGTTTAATCTTAAACTGCGAACACTCCGAAGGAGCATTCGTTTTAACATCATTCGTTGCTAATTTAATGTTAGAAGTTTGCAGAAGGAAAATCCTGAGGGTGGATATCATAAGATGGATGAAGTAGTGAGTTCAGGATTATCTACATACGCTTTTTCAAAAAATTCACCCTTCAACAGAATCATGAATGATATGATTTTGATGATGTCAACTCATGGATTGATTCAAATGAATTACATAAGTGACAACCAATATAAAATGAAGAAAAGGGGTTCTGAAAAATTAAAGATGAAGCATTTGCAAGGAATCTTTTTTCTGTTCTTGGTTGGTAATACTGTGGCAGTATCAGCATTTCTATATGAAAGGTATGTACAGTAGCATATCGAGACAATAACAATTCAGATACTTTAGGAGTTATCACGACAATTGAAGTAGTCTATAGACTTTGAAAGCATCCAATGAAGAACAATAAGTCATAGTGATTTTTTTGGTCCCGTTATCTATGGACATTAATCATCAACTACTCAAGAGTTCACAATTGAGGACTCCACTAGGAAGACAAGAGTGTCAAAAACTATTAGATAGTCTTAGGATGGTCTAATTGAAAATCTTTTTCCTAGATAAAGAAATAACGTATAACAAGCACAAACTACACATGATTATTATGATTTATTTCAGTACGAAATATTCAGATTTGCTTTATATTCATTGTGCAGTACAAGTAGGTAATATGAGCATGACTAAATAAAGTGAGTGAAAATAAATTATATTTCAAAACCTTGACTCAACTTATATCACTTCTTCAGACAAATAATTGACCTAGAATTTCAATGCAAGAATTTTATTCACTGACATTAATTCGGACCTTAACTAAAGTGCAGTAATACGAAAGTGGGAAAGAATACATTATCAAATCAAAATTTGAAGTTGAAGAAATACATGTAGAACACTGGAGCATTTGTATTCTACGTAGGTCCGAAATTAAGATGTGATTGTTCGATTTTTCTGGAAAATCTCAGTCAGTATACTTAGGTAGTTCAAGCATATTTATTGATGCCGTGATGAGCGAAACTAGTTGTATTCACAATAAATTCAGTGGTTTTAAGACTAGTACATTCTTGAAGTTTTCTTCTATATATATATATATATATATATATCTTGAAATTGATTTATTGCCTGTTTGAGGTATTTATTTTGAAAGTTTTTAGCATTAACAGGCTTTTTTAATATGAAAAAGTTTATTTCTGTTGACGTTTCGTTGTTATATTACAACTTTGTCAAAACTAATGAATTAATTAATTCATTAGTTTTGACAAAGTTGTAATATAACAACGAAACGTCAACAGAAATAAACTTTTTCATATTAAAAAGCCTGTTAATGCTAAAAACTTTCAAAATATATATATATATATATATATATATATATATATATATATATATATATATATATATATATATATATATATATATATATATATATATATGTTCATATATATTTTAGTGTATTACGTTACGGTAGCGACCATATCAGAAATTTCGTAATCCTTGTACTTTTTATCATTCTGTGGTCCTTATATTATTTTGTTAACTGTCTTACAGTATTTGAAGTGGAACATATTATTTTAGGCTCCTTTCCTGTTTGTGTATTTTGTGGACGCAGAGTTCAAGATTGATATCGAATCGACATTTCATTCTCGATTCTTGCTTTAGGTTTGTTGTAGTTTAGAATTAAGTTAATATTGTATTTATTGAATAAATTCTTGTTTCTGTTTTAAACATTTATCGAGAGTAGTTGACTATTGAATAAAATAGAAAAATAACTAGATTTATATATATATATATATATATATATATATATATATATATATATATATATATATATATATATATATATATATATATATATATATATATATATAGTAAATAATGAGACTCTTAATCGAAATATTTCAAATAGAACTCTCAGGGAGCTGTCTACACAAATGTTGCCAACGAGAACGAACATAGGTCCTATACCAAATTGAGGATAATTTTACCTAGTGAAATATTCACGTAGGCTCCCTCTATTGGAGAAAGGACGTACAAACTCTCCCTGGCGTTCAAGATTCCTACTCATGACAACAAGAGTGAGGGTGGAAGGCTTTGTAGATATTTCATTCGAACACTACAGAAAATTGTCCGCAATGTGTACGAATGATCCCATGCCTAATCGTTCCAGATCATTATAAATATTCACTCTTGAAAGTGATGAATTTGTCCTCGTTGACAACATTTGTGTAGACAGCTCCCTGAGAGTTCTATTTGAAATATTTCGATATCTCGATTAATAGTCTCAGTATTTACCAGTATTGAATGACTTGTGAATCTCGAAACAAGCTACACTTTCGTTCGCCTGTTCGTGATCTGGAGCGATTAGGCATGGGATCATTCGTACAGATTGCGGACAATTTTCTGTAGTGTTCGAAGGAAATATCTACAAAGCCTTCCACTCTTACTCTTGTTGTCATGAGTAGGAGTCTTGAATGCCAGAAAGAGTTTATACGTCCTTTCTCCGATAAGGGGCGCCTACATGAATATTTCATGAGGTAGAATTGTCGTCAATTTGGTATAGGACCTATGTTCGTTTTGAATCAACTTCAGCTGCGATACGAACCCAGGTATCTCAGGTTTACGGCCTGTTGCTTCAACCAACTAAGCTACCGAGGTCTTCACTTCGTGATGCAGTTTTTACTCTATATTACTATTTTATTCGCAAGCTAGTCTACGACGCTCGGGTTGTCGTCTTTCAAACTGCACGAAAGTGAGTAAACATCTTCCGGTCCTCCCAGGTGAATTTTTAATTTTTGTTACTTGAACATGAGATTAAAGTAATGTAAATGTTATTCGCACTAACCACGCACGTACGGATTGTAGGTTGAAAACTTTTGTGATGTAATTTCGATTCTAAAAATTTACATACAATAATTCTTCATACACAATATGATCCGTACGTGCGTGGTTAGTGCGATCAACATTTTCATTACTATATATATATATATATATATATATATATATATATATATATATATATATATATATATATATATATATATATATATATATATATATATATATATATATATATATATATATATATATATATATATATATATATATATATATATATATATATATATATATATATATATATATATATATATATATATATATATATATATATATATATATATATATATGTTTGAACGTAGAGATTCACGGATGGAAAAATATAATGGTATATTGTTCCGGGAATACATCCGTTGGTTTGTTGAGTGCCTGTTGGGAACTGGCAGACGTTTCGTCAAGGTCTCACTTGACATTATCAATGCTTCAAATGATGGTTATCGATTACTCGGAGTCTGGTGACTGAAAGAGAGATCGGTTTGCTGGCTACCTGTATTTATACGTTTTCGTCGCTGTCGGAGATTATATCTGTCCTGATTGGTTAGCGGTAGCGGTGGCTCCGCCTCCTCAACTGACTGGTCTTCGATATCTCCTCTTGTCTGTTTTGATCTTTCCGTAGGTTGGTGAATTTCGGTATGTCGTCTCATTATTGTTTTCCAGGTACTCGACAACTTCAGGGTATCGTCTTTCTTGTTCAAATGACCAATCTTCTCTATTTCGATGGCTTCTCTAATTATTCGGGTTTTGTAATTTTCGACGATTGCAATTTGTTTGCCACTGTCGAAGTTAATTTTGTGGCCGGTTAGGTGTTCGTGTTGAAATAGAGCCGATGATAGTTGTTTGTTTCTCATGGAAAGTTTGTGTTCTTCTAACCTAGAGGAGATTCTACGGTTCGTTTGGCCGACATAGCTTTTGTTACATGTTCCGCATGTTACGCTGTACACACCCTGGTTTTCTAGTGGGATCTTCTGTTTAGGATTTCTCAATTATGTTCTGATAGTTTCAAGTGGTTTAAATGTCGTTGATATATTACATTTACGAAGAATCCGTCCAATCCTGTCAGTTGTTCCCTTGATGTACGGTAGGACGGTTTTAAATTTGACTTCGGAATCTTCTCTTGGTTTCTTTCCCAGATTTTGTTGCAGATCAATCGCTTTTTTAATTGTTTTCTGTTTGTATCCATTTTGTTCAAGGGCTGCGGTAATTTTGTCAAGTTCTTGGGCTTTGTGGTTGTTGTTCGTAAGACGCAGTGACCTGGAAATCAGTGTGTTTGCAACAGCTTGTATCTGCGATGGATGGTGGTGGGATTCGGCGTTTAGGTATCTATTAGTGTGAGTTGGTTTCCTATATACAGTGTGTTCCAATTTGCCATGTTCACCTCTCATAACAAGTACATCGAGGAAGGGTAATTGGTTGTTATACTCAAGCTCTATAGTGAAGTTTATTCGTGGGTGGATTGAATTCAGATGGTCCAGGAATTTTAGAAGTTTGTCTTTACCGAACGACCATACGACGAACACATCGTCGACGTATCTTTTCCATATTTTTGGTTTTAGATTTGTCGATTGTATAGCTTTCTTTTCAAAATAATTCATGAATAGATTGGCTACTGCGGGTGACAGTGACGATCCCATTGCTGCTCCGTCAACTTGTCGGTACATTTGGCCATCGTGCATGAAGTAGGCGTTATTCAAACAATGTTTGGACAGCTCTATGATATGCGTTGGAAGTGATTCGTTTTCTGCTATTTGTTGTAGGGCTTCCTCTACCGGTATCCCCGGATATAGAGATTCGACGTCGAAACTTGCGATGATGTCATGTTGATCTATGGTGAGAGAGTCTAACAAGTGAGTGAAGTGCTCTGAGTTTTTGATATAAGAATCTGCTCCTTCCACTATGCGTTGTAGTATACTGGCCAGATATTTTTCTAAATTATATACTGGAGAGTTGAAAGCGCTGACGATAGGTCGAAGAGGGACTCCGTCTTTGTGGATTTTTGGGAGGCCGTAGAATTTTGGGCATCTGCTTGATTTTTCCCTAGGTATGAGTTTCTTCTTGGTTTGTTCGTCTATTGGCGATTCAACGATTTTGGACTTAGTTGTCTTTTCCAAGTATGTAGTGGGGTCTCTGGGGACAGCTTTATATCTTGGGTCGTCTAAAAGTTTCATTATTTTGGTGGTATAGTCTTCCGAATTCATGACGACTGTGGCATTACCTTTATCAGCTGGTAAAACCGTGTTGGTCTTTTCTTTGTTGAGTTTTTTCAATGCTTGTTTCTCTTGATAGGTAAGGTTAGGTTTGGGTGGTTTAGCAGATCTCAAGATCCTTGTGACATCTTGTCGTACTTGTCCTGCTGTTTGTTCGTCCAATGCTGAGATACTTGTTTCGACGTTTGAGATGATCTCTTCAACTGGTATTCTGCTCGGGGCAATCGCATAGTTGAACCCTTTTCCTAAAACGCTTATTTCATTTTCAGAAAGGTGATAATCTGATATATTGTGTACTGTAGGGCTGTTGTCAAATGTTGGTCTCAGAGGTTGTTTCTTATGCTTTGCTTGGAGGTTTTTAAGTTTTTTCTGTAGTTTGTTTGATGTCATTTCTCTTTCTACTTCGGTGCACCAATGTATTAAGACCTCAAGGCGGTCCCATAGAATGTTGTGAATTTGGTCGCTTATTTTCAAGTGGAGTCTGTAAAGTTGCGTTTCTAATTCACTAATGTCCCGGTGAGTCCGTTTTATTTGTTCTTTCAGGAGGGCGGAGCTAGCTTTGTCGAGTATGGCTTGCGTTCTCTTAGTCTTTGTATGGTAAGAGAGTTGGGTGAAAGTTGGGCGAATATTTTCATTGCGACAGCTTATTAGAAAACTAAGGTTGCACAGCAGACTACTTCTTTTTACTCTCAGCTTCTCATAAAATTTGGTGTCTTTGAAAGTCTCCTCCCCGTAGAGGTGTATAATGTTTGAACGTAGAGATTCACGGATGGAAAAATATAATGGTATATTGTTCCGGGAATACATCCGTTGGTTTGTTGAGTGCCTGTTGGGAACTGGCAGACGTTTCGTCAAGGTCTCACTTGACATTATCAATGCTTCAAATGATGGTTAACGATTTCATAATTTAGAAAAATATCTGGCTAGTATACTACAACCCATAGTGGAAGGAGCAGATTCTCATATCAAAAACTCAGAGCACTTCACTCACTTGTTAGACTCTCTCACCATAGATCAACATGACATCATCGCAAGTTTCGACGTCGAATCTCTATATCCGAGCATACCGGTAGAGGAAGCCCAACAACAAATAGCAGAAAACGAATCACTTCCAACGCATATCATAGAGCTGTCCAAACATTGTTTGAATAACGCCTACTTCATGCACGATGGCCAAATGTACCGACAAGTTGACGGAGCAGCAATGGAATCGTCACTGTCACCCGCAGTAGCCAATCTATTCATGAATTATTTTGAAAAGAAAGCTATACAATCGACAAATCTAAAACCAAAAATATGGAAAAGATACGTCGACGATGTGTTCGTTGTATGGTCGTTCGGTAAAGACAAACTTCTAGAATTCCTGGACCATCTGAATTCAATCCACCCACGAATAAACTTCACTATAGAGCTTGAGTATAACAACCAATTACCTTTCCTCGATGTACTTGTTATGAGAGGTGAACATGGCAAATTGGAACACACTGTATATAGGAAACCAACTCACACTAATAGATACCTAAACGCCGAATCCCACCACCATCCATCGCAGATACAAGCTGTTGCAAACACACTGATTTCCAGGTCACTGCGTCTTACGAACAACATCCACAAAGCCCAAGAACTTGACAAAATTACCGCAGCCCTTGAACAAAATGGATACAAAGGGAAAAAAATTAAAAAAGCGATTGATCTGCAACAAAATCTGGGAAAGAAACCAAGAGAAGATTCCGAAGGCAAATTTAAAACCGTCCTACCCTACATCAAGGGAACAACTGACAGGATTGGACGGATTCTTCGTAAATGTAATATATCAACGACATTTAAACCACTTGAAACTATCAGAACAAAATTGAGAAATCCTAAACAGAAGATCCCACTAGAAAACCAGGGTGTGTACAGCGTAACATGCGGAACATGTAACAAAAGCTATGTCGGCCAAACAAACCGTAGAATCTCCTCTAGGTTAGAAGAACACAAACTTTCCATAAGAAACAAACAACTATCATCGGCTCTATTTCAACACGAACACCTAACCGGCCACAAAATTAACTTCGACAGTGGCAAACAAATTGCAAACGTCGAAAATTACAAAACCCGATTAATTAGAGAAGCCATCGAAATAGAGAAGATTGGTCATTTGAACAAGAAAGACGATACCCTGAAGTTGTCGAGTACCTGGAAAACAATAATGAGACGACACACCGAAATTCACAAACCTACGGAAAGATCAAAACAGACAAGAGGAGATATCCAAGATCAGTCAGTTGAGGAGGCGGAGCCACCGCTACCGCTAACCAATCAGGACAGATATAATCTCCGACAGCGACGAAAACGTATAAATACAGGTAGCCAGCAAACCGATCTCTCTTTCAGTCACCAGACTCCGAGTAATCGATAACCATCATTTGAAGCATTGATAATGTCAAGTGAGACCTTGACGAAACATCTGCCAGTTCCCAACAGGCACTCAACAAACCAACGGATGTATTCCCGGAACAATATACCATTATATATATATATATATATATATATATATATATATATATATATATA